CATTTCAGCCTAACCCATATCTGTACTGGCACCTTCCCCAGGCCTGAGCTTCTGCCAAGCTCTCTTCAGCCTCCCAGGGACCAGCATCATACTCTAATCTCCTGTGAGAATTGACATATGTGCTCAACTACTCCAAAAGGGACCAAAGATGGAGGGTTTATTTCTCTCTTGAATAAAAATCCACCCGGTAGGCAGTCCAGGAGACACAGTCATCCATTCTTCTCATCCCTTCATTTGTTAGGTTGATATTTTCATGTGCATGTTCCTTTTTGAGAAAATGATGAAGGTTTTGTGTTTCTGGCTATAACCTAAAAGTTACATACACCACATTGGCAACAATTAGCTGCAAGGAAGGCTGGGAAATACAGTTTCCAGTTGGGTGGTGATAGATAGATAAATAGCTGCCGTCAAGTTGACTCTGACTCACAGCAACCTTATGTACAAAACCAAAAAACCAAACTCAATGCCATCGAGTCAATTCTGACTCAGAGACACCCTTTGGGTGTCTGAGGCAGTATCTTCACAGAATTAGATTGCCCAGTCTTCCTTCCTCAGAGTGGCTGAGGGGTTTGAACCACCAACCTTCTGGTTAGCAGTCAAATGCCTTGGCGTTATGCCACCAGAGCTCTTTACCTTATGTGCAGTACAATGAATGTCCAGCCCTGTGTCATCTGCACGATCTGCAGCCATGTTGGTGTCCATCATTGTGACTGTTGTGCCTATCTATCTCACTGAGGGTTACTTTGTCCTCACCGTTCCTCTGCTTTACCAAATATGATACCCTCCTCCAGCAATTAGTCTTTCCTGATGTGTCCAAAGAAAGCAAGTCAAGCAGTGTTCTGTAGTGATAGATAAAGTTTTCATTGGCAAATTTTCGGAAGTAGATTGCCATACCTTTCTTCCTAGTATAGCTTAGTGTGGAAACTCCACTGAAACCTGTCCACCATGAGCAACCCACTGGGATTTGAAATACCAATGACATAGCTTCTAGCATCATACCACCTCATGAGCCACCACAGTACAACCAACTGACAGATGGGTGGTGGTGGGTGACCCTAGACCCAGCGAAAGCTCAGAGAGGCTTCAGTTACTAAAAGAAGAAAGAGAAACAACCAGTGGAAGGAATTCTCAGTCTCCAGAAATCTCAGTCTGTGCATTCTCAACCAGAGCCTCTGGTCCCACCCTTGGCCTTAACCACTCTATCCGGATGTCCTCCTGTGGTGCTCTGACCACCTCTTGCTGATTGGTGCCCAGGACCCCATCCTCACATCCTGACTTGTTCTGCCATCATCTGAGCCCACAGCCCCTCTTTCTTCTCTTTTCAGGTGAAACATTGTACTCCATCTCACACAAACACAAGCAGTATCATGTGCTTAGTGATTCTTAGAAAGGACACTGGTTTTGTGGTAGTTGTTACATGAGAATACTTACTGCTTGCCTCTTGTCCCCCTATGCCCTTCTGCTCTGGGGTCCCAGCAATTGAAGTAAGGGGGAAGCCTTGCTTTCTTGGCACTGTGAGATCAGTATGTTTTATTACTGTCAGTAAAATCTTGACCAGATTTGAGAATATTAGGATGTGTGTGTGTATGTGTGTAACTAAATTACAAGAAAAAAAGAGCTTTATTAAGCCCCACAAATCTGGGCTCTACACGGGTCATCAAGCCCCTGTCCGTGCTTTCCCTCAACCATGTCTTACTTGGCTGATGGCCTAAGCACCTCAGTCTAGAGCCCAAGTCAGGCCCAAGCTGACCTCCTGCCAAGACTGGTGGACTTGTCTGGCTGACAGAGTCTCTCCTCATCTACCTTCTGGCAAAGTCCTTGGGGTGTTTACTTTGGGCTACAGCCAGCTGTCCCAGGACTCATTGGATATAGAAGGGACTTTCCTGTTTGGCTTCAGACCACCTTGCTTCAGCCCTGCTGGCTCCTCCATCACTTCCTGCTCCTCTGAGGCCTTGTGGCTCCAGGCTCAGCAAGCCCTATTCTCTTCCCCATTACAGTGTTCTAACAGCTAGACCTATGACAGCTTCTATGGAAGTGGGAACTGAGCTGTCGGACATCTTAACCAACTGGCTATTAAAGTTTAGATTCTCCTCATGAGTCTAAGCTGATTTCTAAGCCAGGGATTTCTGGTGGCTATGGACTCAGTGGCAGACAACATGGACCCCATAGCTATTCTGTGACCATCGGCAGAGAGTATACATCTTCCTCCTGGCTTGATGCTCAAACTTGTTGGCCCAGCTCCTGATCCATGTCAGGGAAACCTTCCATCTCTGACCCCATTTCTCTGGTGACTTTTGTAGGTACCCTCACCAATTCCCTGGAGAAAATGCATTCTCTGTCACTTTAAGTTTACATCAAAGTTTCATAGATATACTCAGAACCACCAAAGGTAGAAGTGGACCATTTTCTTAGTGTCATTTGGTCACAGTGTTTAGAAACAGCCCTTCTAAAAGAGTAAAAGAGTTAAGTTAGAAGTTGTTTTGTCAAATCTAAATTTAAATATATTCACAAGGCTGGGGCCTTCTGGGTCTTGTAGGCTTGTACCTCTGTCTGTACTCAAGGTCCTGGGTACCCCTCTCCCACTGCCCTGTATTGATAACCTCCATACCTGTCATAGGGGGATCAAGCAGGGTAGCAGAGAACACTGGTGGAGGAGTCTGAGGACAAGTGTGGCCCTGGGCTAGTCGTTTCCACTGTGGTTCAGATGATCTGTATGTAGAATGAAGGGATGGACCTTCCAGTACCACACTCTTCTTTGGCTCCACAGCCTGGGAAGCCAACAATGCTGACATGCCTGCATTGCTCTTGCCTCACAGGGTGAGAAAAGACATTCTGTCCCAGGAGGAACACCAGGCCTGCTCACAGGTGTAGACTGGACACTGATCCCAGGCAGGTGATGCTGTCTCAATGAGTCATCTGATGACACAATAGTCACCTGCCTGTCTGTCTCTCCCATCCACCCTACCCCTCCCACATGACCCTAGGAATTGCACCAAACCCCAGCCACTAGGTGCTTCCCCACTTGCTGCCAGGAGGACTTTGTAGAACCAAGATAGGAAAGAAACTCACAAGAGGAGCAAACTTACAGGGTGCAATTTTTAGCTAATAGATTGAATCACCTGCCTCTCCATGGCAAGTTATAATGTCTGAAGTCATGCCATGTGAGAGACAACTATTTGAATCTTGTTGTTGTTGTTGTTGTTATGTGCCATCAAGTCAGCCCCGACTCATAGCGACCCCACCTTGGGTTTCCGAGGCAGTATCACTACGGAAGTAGGATTGCCCAACCTTCCTTCCGAGGATTTGAATCTTACAGACTTGTAAATCTTCTGAGCACCCCTATTAAAGTGCAAAGGGTAAATTCTTCAATTCTTTATCAGCAAACACCTGGTAGAAACCAAGGCAAGAACCTGAAGGGGGTCTGGTGTCAATAAGCCAGGGGCAGGCTACACTTACAGGGAAAGAAGAAAGACATAGGCCTCAACCAGGGCCTCACCCAAGGGACAGACACTGAGAGGTGGCTAGAGAATGAACTCTTGCTACCGGAGGACTGGGTTCAAATACCAATCTTGCCTCTTAGGAACCATGGGCCCTTAAGTAAGCCACCTTCCCTCTGTGGTCCCCATTTGCCTCAACTAGAAAATAAAATGGTTGGATGAAATGGAGCCCACAGTAACTTCCAGCTTTGAAATTCTGACCATATTTCTGAGGGGAAAGGTCCAGCCTAGACTGACTAGCTTCCAGCTGTGTCTGAAAGCAGCCCCATTGGAGGAGGCAAGCACCTGGGGTTTCCACTCAGACCAACTGTGTCCCTCAGCTTGACAAAGACCCCTCTTCCAAGCCAGGGCATCCATGGGGCACTGACTAGCCAAGGAAAAGTTACAAAGCTGGAGGAACCTGCCAGAACACATTCTTCCTGATGATTGCTTGGCCAATCAGATGGTCATGGCTATATTAGACTGACTCCCCACATGCTGTGGCAGTGGTTTTCAGCTTCACCATGAAATACTGGCTTAGGAGGTAGGTTAGTAAGGAGGTAAAAAGCAATGAATGATTCAGCCCCTTATGAGCATTTTCAGACTCAGGGCCAGATAGAGATTAATACTAAGCTGAGATCTAACCTCTCCCTTGGAAAACTCATCCCTGAATAACCCACCAGCACCATCTCCACCACTAGTGTTCAGATAGTGGCATACACACCTATTATCTCATTGGACCCCACTGAAGCCCTGAGGTGCATTGAGGCAGAAATTGCTGTTATGCAGGCAAATGAAGTGTTACCAGTTGCCAATGAGTCGATTCCAACTCATGGAAACACATGTGTACAAGAGTTGAACTGTGCTTCATAGGGTTTTCTATGGCTGATTTTTCAGAAGTAGATCACTGGGCCTTTCTTTCAAGGTACCTTTGGGTGGACTTGAACTTCCAACCTTTTGGTTAGCAACCCAACACATTAACCATTTGTACTACCCAGGGATTCTAACTGAGGCATAAACCAAAAAATCTGAACTCACTGCCATTAAGTCGATTGTGACTCATAGTGACCCCTCCTTGGGTTTCCAAGGCGGTATCACTATGGAAGTAGATTGCCCAGTCTTCCTTCTGAGGAATGAGGCATAGAAAGCCTCAAACCCACTCAGAGTCAATCTGGAGCAGAGAGTAGAATTTAGGCTTTCTGTTTCTAACTGCCCTGCAGTTCTCTGAGCCCTTTCCTGACTTCTGCTCCTACCACCCCACAAGTTATGGTCCTCACAGTAGGCATTGTGTCACTCCACCGTTACATGAAAGCAGGTGAAGGAAGGGTGGGGCCATTGGGCAAATGGAGCTGGGGACTTTGAGTTTCAGGTTGAGTTTCCCTGGTTAAACTTTTAGGACTAGCAGCTAGGTTTGACATTGAGTCAGAGCTGCCTAGGCTGTAGACAAGTCGCAGTAACTCTCTCTTCTCTTTTGTGTGTGTGTATTTCTATGTGCGTGTGTATGCTTTGGTCTGGTCACTGTAGAAGAGCGTGACTTCTCCTCAACGGCTACTGATCTACAACACGAGACTAGAGGAGAGAAGAGACCAGAACGGAGCCACTCACAGCATCCAGTGTGGCTTCTCTTGTGCCAGGACCAGGGATGACTGGGCCATGGACACAGACATCTCCAACTTTCCACAGTCCGTATAGCACACAGGGAACTCCTGGGGGGCCACTTACCACTGCCAACTGAAATAATACAATGGCAATATTGACATCCTTCATGATGTTTTCAAGACAGACATTCAGGCAGAAAGTGCCGGTGCATTTTCTGTCTGCAAAGTAGAGGGCCATGCCTCACCAATATGAATGGTTTGGACCCTGATGACCTGCTCTGAGTCCACTGACAGCCAGTGACACTTGCAAAAAACACCCAAAGCCGTCTTTGGTTTGGCTTCTGCAGCTCTTGACAAATGTGGCCAAAGCCAGACACCTCCTTGGGACACTCAGATTCTCCATAAATGCTGCCTTCCCCAACCCTCCCTGAATAGCATCTGAAGTCTCTGTGAAGGTCATGGATCCTGAACAAAGTGTCAAGGGCACCAAGAAGGCTGAGGGAAGTCCCCGGAAGCGGCTGACCAAAGGAGAGGCCATCCAGACCAGTGTTTCATCCAGCACCCCATACCCAGGCAGTAGCACTGCAGCCACCCAAGAAAGCCCCCTCCAAGAGCTCCTAGTCCCGCAGCCTTTCCCAGGCTCCTCATCAGTTCTTAGGGAAGGCTCTCAGGAGAAAACAGGCCAGCAGCAGAAGCCCCCGAAGAGATCCTCCATCGAAGCCCCCGTCCACATCTCACAGCTTCCACAGCACCCTCTGACACCAGCATTCATGTCACCCGGCAAACCCGAACATCTCCTGGAGGGCTCCACATGGCAGCTGGTCGACCCCATGAGACCTGGGCCCTCAAGCTCCTTCATGGCCCCTGGGCTTCATCCACAGAGCCAGCTCCTCCCTTCCCATGCTCCCATAATCCCCCCTGAAGACCTACCTGGCATCCCCAAAGTCTTTGTGCCCCGTTCCTCCCAGGTCTCATTGAAGCCTGCAGAAGAGGCACACAAGAAGGAGAAGAAACCCCAGAAGCCAGGCAAGTACATCTGCCAGTACTGTAGCCGGCCCTGTGCCAAGCCCAGCGTGCTCCAGAAACACATCCGCTCTCACACAGGCGAGAGGCCCTACCCCTGTGGCCCCTGCGGCTTCTCCTTCAAGACCAAGAGTAACCTCTACAAGCACAGGAAGTCCCACGCTCACCGCATCAAAGCCGGTCTAGCCTCGGGAATGGGTAGCGAGATGTATCCCCCAGGCCTGGAGATGGAGAGGATCCCTGGGGAAGAGTTTGAAGAGCCCACTGAGGGAGAAAGCACAGATTCAGAAGAGGAGACGGGCGCTCCATCCAGTCACCCTACAGAGGTCTCCCCTAGACCTAAGCACCCTCTCCTTTCCAGCAGTCTGTATAGCTCTGGGAGCCATGGTTCCAGCCATGAACACTGTTTCTTGTCCCAGTCCAGCACATCCCAGTCCCTCGAGGACCCCACTCCATTTGCAGAACCCTCATCTGAACACCCCTTGAGCCATAAACCTGAGGACACCCACACAATAAAACAGAAGTTAGCCCTGCGCTTAAGTGAGAGGAAGAAGGTGATTGATGAGCAGGCTTTTCTGAACCCGGGCAGCAAAGGGAGCACTGAGTCTGGCTATTTCTCTCGCTCTGAGAGTGCTGAGCAGCAGGTCAGCCCCCCAAACACCAATGCCAAGTCCTATGCTGAGATCATCTTTGGCAAGTGTGGGCGGATCGGGCAGCGGACCACCATGCTGACCTCCACCTCGACCCAACCCCTGCTTCCCCTGTCCACTGAAGACAAGCCCAGTCTGGTGCCTTTGTCTGTGCCTCGGACCCAAGTGATTGAGCACATCACGAAGCTCATCACCATCAATGAGGCTGTGGTGGACACCAGTGAGATCGACAGCGTGAAGCCCAGGAGGAGCTCGCTGTCGCGACGTAGCAGCATGGAGTCTCCCAAGTCCAGCCTCTATCGGGAGCCCCTGTCATCCCATGGTGAGAAAATGAAGCCGGAACAATCACTGCTGAGCCTCCAGCACCCCCCCAACACCACCCCCCCTGTGCCTCTCCTGAGAAGCCACTCAATGCCTTCTGCTGCCTGCACTATCAGTACCCCCCACCCCACCTTCCGAGGGAGCTACTCCTTTGATGACCATATCACCGACTCCGAAGCCCTGAGCCGCAGTCACGTGTTTACCTCCCACCCTCGGATGCTGAAACGCCAGCCGGCAATTGAACTACCTTTGGGAGGCGAGTATAGTTCCGAGGAGGCTGGACCAAGTAGCAAAGACACAGCCTCCAAACCTGCAGAAGAACCAGAACCCAAGGAAAGTGAACTCACCAAAAAGACCAAGAAGGGTTTGAAAACTAAAGGGGTCATCTATGAATGTAACATATGTGGTGCTCGGTACAAGAAAAGGGATAATTATGAAGCCCATAAAAAGTACTATTGCTCAGAGCTTCAGATCACAAAGCCCGTCTCCGCAGGTGCTCACACATCCTCGGAAGCCGAAAAGAGTCAGGCTGAGCATGAGCCCTGGTCCCAGATGATGCATTATAAGCTGGGGACCACCTTGGAACTTACTCCACTGAGAAAGAGGCGGAAAGAGAAAAGCCTGGGGGACGAGGAAGAACCATCTGCCTTTGAGTCGACTAAAGGTCAGTTTGGCAGTCCCGGGCCATCAGATCCTGCTCGGAACCTTCCCCTTGAGTCCACCAAGTCACCAGCAGAACCAAGTAAATCAGTGCTCTCCTTGGAGGGATCCACGGGCTTCCAGCCAAGGACTCCCAAGCCAGGGTCCAGTTCAGAATCAGGGAAGGAGAGGAGAACAACGTCCAAAGAAATTTCTGTCATCCAACACACCAGCTCCTTTGAGAAATCCGACTCGCTCGAGCAGCCCAGTGGCCTGGAAGGGGAAGACAAGTCCCTGGCCCAGTTCTCATCACCCACACCTGCCCCTCATGGACGGTCAGCTCATTCCCTGCAACCCAGATTGGTCCGCCAGCCCAATATTCAGGTTCCCGAGATCCTGGTGACTGAGGAGCCTGATCGGCCAGACACAGAACCTGAGCCACCCCCTAAGGAGCCTGAGAAGACAGAAGAGTTTCAATGGCCCCAGCGCAGCCAGACACTTGCCCAGCTGCCAGCTGAGAAGCTGCCACCCAAGAAGAAGAGACTGCGCCTGGCAGAGATGGCCCAGTCATCTGGGGAGTCCAGCTTTGAGTCCTCTGTGTCCCTGACTCGCAGTCCAAGCCAAGAAAGCAGTGTCTCTCTGAGTGGGTCCAGCCACTCAGCCTCATTTGAGAGGGAAGACCATGGAAAAGCAGAGGCCCCTGGGCCCTCATCTGACCCACGCTCCAAGCCATTGGGCACCCACATGCTGACTGTCCCCAGCCACCACCCACACTCCCGAGAGATGCGCAGGTCAGCCTCAGAGCAGAGCCCCAACATATCGCATTCTGCCCAGATGACCGAGACACGCAGCAAATCATTTGACTACGGCAGCTTGTCCTTGGCAGGCCCTTCCACACCAGCCCCAGTGGCTCCTCCAGCTCCAGCAGCTCCTTCAGAAAGAAGAAAATGCTTTTTGGTGAGACAGGCCTCTCTCAACAGGCCTCCAGAAACAGAGCTGGAGTCAGTCCCCAAAGGAAGACAGGAGAGTGAAGAACCACAGCCCTCATCCAGTAAATCATCTCCTAAAAGCTTGTTGCCCCAGATTTCCTCAGCAGCCACCTCACGCAGTGGGCACCCAGGAGGCAAGAGCCAGGTGCAAGACAGACCACCGCTGGGATCCACTCCACCCTACACAGAAGCGTTACAGGTGTTCCACCAACCCATTGCCCAACTGCCCTTGCATGAAAAACCATACTTGCCCCCTCCAGTCTCCCTTTTCTCCTTCCAGCACCTTTTGCAGCATGAGCCAGGACAGCCTTCAGAATTCTTCTCCACCCAGGCCATGTCCAGCCTCCTGTCCTCACCGTATTCCATGCCCCCACTTCCTCCCTCCTTGTTTCATCCCCCACCACTTCCTCTCCAACCTACTGTTCTGCACCCAAGCCAACTCCACCTCCCCCAGCTCATGCCTCACCCTACCAACATCCCCTTCCGGCAGCCCCCTTCATTTCTCCCTATGCCATACCCAGCCTCCTCAGCACTCTCTTCTGGGTTTTTCCTGCCTCTGCAATCCCAGTTTGCCCTTCAGCTCCCTAGTGATGTGGAAAGCCATCTTCCCCAGGTCAAAACTAGCCTGGCCCCACTGGCATCAGAAACAGCTGGCCTCTCCCCCAGCACAGAGTACAGCAGAGACATCCAACTGCCCCCTGTGCCTCCCCCAGCGAGCTCTTCAGCACCCACATCAGCACCTCTGCTTGTCCTGCCCACCTGTCCAGACACCATGGTGTCTCTGGTTGTGCCCGTCCGCATTCAGACCAACATGCCGTCCTATGGGAGCGCGATGTACACTACCCTCTCCCAGATCTTGGTCACCCAGTCTCAAGGCAGCTCAGCAACTGTGGCTCTTCCCAAGTTTGAGGAACCCCCATCCAAAGGGATAACTGTGTGTGGGGTAGATGTGTATGAGGTTGGTCCCAGACTGGCTGGAGTAAGTGAAGAACAAAGCAGAGGTTTCCTGACTCCATACCTGAGAGTGCCTGTGACATTACCAGAAAGAAAAGGCACTTCCCTGTCATCAGAGAGCATCTTGAGCCTGGAGGGGAGTTCATCAACAGCAGGGGGAAGCAAACGTGTCCTGTCACCAGCTGGCAGTCTTGAACTTACCATGGAAACCCAGCAGCAAAAAAGGGTGAAGGAAGAGGAGGCTTCCAAGGCAGATGAAAAACTAGAACTAGTAAAACCATGCAGCGTGGTGCTTACCAGCACAGAGGATGGGAAGAGACCAGAGAAATCCCACTTAGGCAGCCAGATCCAGGGCAGGAAGGAGCTGGAAACACTGTCCAGTCTATCCTCAGATCCATCTGACCCAAAGGAAATTCCTCCCCTTGCTCACCCTACATTGCCTCATGTAACAGCCCCAGGCTCCGAAGCTTTGAAGGAATATGCCCAGCCATCTAGCAAACCTCATCGCAGAGTGTTGCCCACACTGAGTGTAAAGAAGGAAGATTCCAAGGAACAACCTGACCTCCCTCCACAGATGCCCCCCAGCTCGCTGCCTCTGTCAGAAACGTCCCCCAGACCAGCCAAGTCTCAAGAAGGTATGGACTCAAAGAAGGTACTGCAGTTCCCCAGCCTCCACACGACCACTAATGTCAGTTGGTGCTATTTAAACTACATTAAGCCAAATCACATCCAGCATGCAGATAGGAGATCCTCTGTTTACGCTGGTTGGTGCATAAGTTTGTACAACCCCAACCTTCCAGGGGTTTCCACTAAAGCTGCTTTGTCCCTCCTGAGGTCTAAGCAGAAGGTGAGCAAAGAGACATACACCATGGCCACAGCTCCGCATCCTGAGACAGGAAGGCTTGTGCCATCCAGCTCCTGCAAGCCCCGCATGACAGAGGTAAGTTCAGCCTTATTTTTCTTCATACCATTGATTAATAAAGAAAAAAAAAAAAATTAATCTGCTGAGCTTTTGAAGCCGCATTCTCCTTAAGTCCCATTTGCAAAACTATAGCCAGATGAGTGGGAAGATTTCCTTTCTGGAAGCTGTGCCTTCCTTATGAGGAAAATGTTCATTGAATTTCTTAGTAAGTTTGTCCCTCACAATACTGGAATAGATACAATCCAATGGTAGCTAGAAGGTGATCCTGCTTTCCCATTAGCCTCTATTATAAAATCAAAGATGCAACATCAGAGAAGAAAAAAGTGATTCTCCAGACCTAGTTGGAAACCTTAGCTAATGGGAATGTTTACAGCCAATTTTAGAACCACTTATATGGTTTTCCCATATAGTTTTGTTTTTATCCTTCTTTTCTCATTCCCCACATCTGCTATTTCTGTCCCCTAGTACCACTTGAAATCTTCATATTTCCAGAGGTTCTAGAATTTGACACAAACAACTCCTGAAATACTCCTGTCTTTTTTGTGTTTGGGATAATAGAGCTGGGCTGCAGTATCCTTCTTTCCCAGTAGGTGGCAATATCACTCAGATTTTAACCCATCTGTGCTATGTGGTGGGAGGGAACTCTGGTGGCATAGTGCCTAAGGCATTTGACTGCTAATCAGAAAGCTGGAGGTTAAAACCCACCAGCTACTACTCAGAAGGAAGGTTGGGCAATCTACTTCCCTAATGATATTGCCTTGGAAACCCAAGGAGGGGTTGCTATGAGTCGGATCCGACTTGACGGCAGAGAGTTTTTTGTTTGTGCTGTATGGTAGCATCTGGCCCTCTCCAAGGGCTGGTGTTTACTCTTTCATTGTCTCTGACCTGTGCCTGCTTCTGGAGCTATGAATTGAACTGATTCCTAGCTTTATAAGCTCAACAAGTTTGATACTCTATAATTCCATGTTTGCTTCAGACAAAAGATACCTATGTACCCTTACATGGCCAGTTTATATATTCAAGCCATGATGTGTTATTTGACTTGACATTGGTGGAATAAGAATTGGTCTTTTTTTATTGAAACCTCAATGAAACCTCACAGGAACTATACTGGACCCTTTAATCCAGTCATTTCTACCATCTCCATTCTGTATATGAGGGAACTGAGGCTCAGAGGCTAAGGGAGTCCAAGATCATATGTCAGTTGTTTTTTTTTTTTTTTTTGCACACTTCAAATTTGAAACCAGACCTGTCTGACTCCAAAGAGTCTTTCTATTTTTCTTCTTTCAATTATTTGATGAAAAATAACCCTGAGAGATTATTGCAAATTTAAAGATGTTCATTAGTGTGGCTTCAGACCAGATGCTTTAATCATATAGTCAGAAATCCCCAAAAATAAACTCATATTGTAGATAAATGATCAAAACTGTGTCTCATAACTTTCCATACATTCATACTTTCTCTTTTATTATTGATTGGTGTGCACTGAATCTGTTCTTAGCTCTGCTGGATATTCTTCACAGAACTGTTTTCCAATATGTCCATGTCAATATATAGACATCCCTAGTTGAGATTCCCACTTTTGCCCTAAACATCACGACTGACTTGCTCTCCAGTATCTCTTCCTGGCAAAGGTTACTCCCAAGACATTGTTGTCATTACATTCATACTTATAACTTCTTGAGTACTTACTGTATGTCAGTATTATGCTAAACTTTATTCTCACAAGCACCTTGAAAGTTAGGATGCCATATCACCATTCTGTGGATAAGGACACCAAAGCACAGAGAGGTAAATAACTTGCCCCAAGGCCACACGGTAAATTGCAGAGTTTGGATTCTAAACTAGATGTCATTCCGAAGCTCTTTCAAATTATCTGGGCTGCCTCTGTGTTCTGACAACTAAAAACTCAATAGGCCATTTAAGAAAAAGGTAATTAATTTGGTTTAATTGGGTTTGGCAATCATTTGTTTATATTATTGCTTTATTAAAATGAGCTAAAATCTGTGAACTTTATTTCTGAATATTCTGTTTGATTCCTGGCACATTTCCTGTCAGAAGTGCCTCAAGCTGGTGCATTAATGTAACTCTGGTCCATGGCTTGAAGCCTCTCTATTTTCACCTCTCTCTCTTTCTCTTTCCAGTGATGGGAAGGTCATCACCTTCCAGTACAACCCAGTCCATTTTTTGATAGTGATTTGAGAAAATTTTTTATTCTATTGAGCTGACATTTGTCATTCTTTAGCTGCCATTCTTTGTTAATAATTCTGAAAAGTCCCTTTAGGCTTAGGCTATCTTGGCATTTTGAAGCTCTTCCTAACTGTCTTCATGCAGGTCTGGGCCACCCTAACATGCTTGAGTTTGGTCACAGATTTTTTTTTTTCTATTTATAAGCCTGGGAGAAACGTAAACTTATGTATGAATCCACTTTACATCCACATTCCTTTTCCCCAGGCCTCTCTTTCCTTTTATCTTTGGAGATCATTTTGACAATCATATAACATTTGCAGAGAGATTAAGAAAAATGACTTGGGTGCCAAGTTGCTCAGGTTTGAATCCTGGAGCTCTGGTAGTGTAGTGCCTAAGGCACTTGACTGCTAATCAGAATGCTGGCAGTTCAAACCCACCAGCCACTCCTCGGAAGGAAGGTTGGGCAATCTACTTCCACAGTGATACTGCCTCAGAAAACCAAGGAGGGGTCACTATGAGTCAGGTTCAACTTATGTGTGATGGCACATAACGACAACAACAACCTCACTTACTAGCTGTGTGACCTTGGGCCAGTTACTTCTCTGTACCTGGGTTTCCTCATCTGTGAAAGAGGAAGAATACTAATACCTCATAGCACTATGTTGTTGTTGTTATTTGCCGTCAAGTCGGCCCCGACTCATAGCGACCCCTCCTTGGGTTTCCGAGGCAGTATCACCATGGAAGTAGGATTGCCCAAACTTCCTCGGAAGGAAGGTTGGGCAATCCTACTTCCGTAGTGATACTATAGTGGTAATTAAATGAGTTAAAATATGCAAAGTGCACTCAGAGCAGTGCTTGGCACATTGGCCCTCAAAAATATTTTGAGCTATATTTATTCATATGATGATTATTAAAAGCCAAAATAGATCCCTGACCCCACTGCTCAATTCCAACAGAATTCCCTGGTAAAGTGGCTCCTCACCACCAAAACCAGGTTCTTTCAGGTTGGCCTGGGCATCACAGCTGGTGTGAGGAAGAAGCTGCTCTTCCAGCCTGTGGGAAATCCATTAACTATCCCATGAATAGCCCAGATCACAGGCCAGGCAGGAGTGGAAAAGGCTTCCTCTGGAAATCCTAGGGTATTGCTGAAAATCAGCCACCTTCTGCCAAAGCAACAGTCTAGACCCTCACTTGGTATCTCCCTACCCCCAGTTCTAAGGAGATCATTTATGGGTCACTGGGTCATAGAAAGGAGCTCTGGGAGCTAATGTAGGCTGTCAGACCCTGAGACGTAGAGAAATGGAGGAACTCACCCAGGCAGTTTAGTCTGCAGTGGCTGATATGGTGCTAGGACTCAGATCCCCTTTCCTAATGAAGTACCTTTCAGCTTGGCCCCACCCTGGTTGGTACAGGGGACTGTAATTCTTAGGTCGTCCCAGAATCAGGAGACATGGTTGCTTTTCCTGCAGGCTGGAAACAGCATGGGTTCTTGTGACCTTAATGACAATATGACAGTGACATGAAGTAGGATGAGAACCATACTCCTGGGTCTGCTGGCCCCCTGTCCCCAGAACAACATCACTGTTCCCTACACAAGGGTAGTGGTGGCAGACCCCCACCACCATCTGGAGGATCAGAGGACATATTCTTGGGAGAGTGGAAGATGTCCAGGAAGCACAAGGTCAATGACAGCACTCCCCATCAGGCCTCACAGTTGAACCCATGTCTTTGTGAAGAGAATGGGTTTCCTTAGACACCAGAACCTGCACACCCCAAGTGCACACCCATCAGTGGGCCAACCCAGAAACAGCTTCACTATGCTCCAAGCCTCTCTAGGCCTGGCTCTGAGGGACTCTGGGGTCAGGGTTTCTGGATCCCAGTCTTTGGTACAAGCTTGGGGGCCAGTATCCTAGGGCTGGAGACCTTTTCTCTGCTTCCAGCTCTGTCCTTAACTTGCTAAGTGTCTTTGGATGCCTTGAGCCTCATTTTTCTGATCTGAAAAGAGAACTGGACCAGTCAAAGGCCAGAAGCTACCCAAATGTGCTCCCAGGGTAGGAGGTGATGACAAGGAGGCTTCCCAGACAGAGTAGGCTTAGAGTGGGAGCCAGGCAGGACTGCAGGGCTCCTGCCTACCTGTCATGCCCACTTGTCCCTGCCTCTTGGGGAACATATTGCAGGGCAACCTGCTTTGGTCTGGATGACATCATGGCTTCAATATCCCATCTTATGATTTATACTGCCGGAATCCTCCCAGAGTCATTCAGGCCTAAGATTTAGGAGCCCTTGCCCAGAAAAGAAGTGACCACCTCACCAGAAATCCTGAAATTGGGTAGACTCAATCCCCAAAGTGAACATAGCACAAAACAGAAGGTGGTCTGGAGGCCCTGAGAAGCTCAGGGCAGGTTCCCAGGGCTATGGCCTCTGGCTTTTCAAACAAGCTAAGCCTCTTAAGTCCAGCCCCACTGCCTCATTGCAGTGGCACAAGTCAAAAGACTGGGGAGGTCTTATTCCTGCAAAATGGAACTAATGACACCTCTTCTGGCCCAGGGTGGAGAATGAGTGAGCTAGCCTGCTTACGCATGAAATACGCTCTAAGGCATCATTAGTATTATGTTCCTAACTGAGAATGAACAATCTAACTAGTAATGGTTTTATCATCCCTGCGGTGGGCCAGGTTCACCTCCCTTTGCTGGTTTCCCCAGAAGGCCAGAAAGATACAGCTAGAGTGGAAAAGGAAGAAGAGAAACGAGGGAAGCCGGAGGAGGACGCTCCTGCCTCCAAGAGAGGGGAGCCGACGAGGATCAAAATCTTCGAAGGAGGGTAAGAACCACGTTTGGTTTTCAGTTTCTGCTGTGTGTAGAACACACGCTAGCTAGCGTGGCCAGTGGCTGAAGGTGGACTGTGTTCGGCAGCAGCGAGCATCTCAAACAGCAGTACTGTGCCCCTGAGGTTTCCTATGGTACCCGCGATGCCTTTTAGCTTCTTTGTGGGACTCACAGGCTACTCTGTGCTTAAAAGCACTGGGCTCTTTCGTGGGAATGGGGGCGCTGGTGTTGGTTGCAGATCTGGAGGAGTCTGGGTCTGTCTCTAGCCCGTTATTTCTTCAGTTGCTGGTCCCTCAGTTGGGATCAAGGGTGAGTCCCCCAGGCTCTGTCTGGGCTACAATTTACCTTGCTGTACGTTCCCTGAAAGTCACCTCTGTATGCCCAACTGGCCACTTTGGCGTGCCTTTTCCTAGGCCCTGTCCCCTGGCTTTCCTGAGGGAGCTCGCCTCTGCCTCCAGGGCTGTGTGCAGAGCTAATAGCACACAGCATGCACCAGCTGTTACACTGGTCACACGCCAGGGCCCAGGGCTCAATGGTTGTTAATGTTTTTAATATCATTCCTGGCGTTTCTCCTTTGCTGCTTGTCTTTGGAACCTAGTGATTGAAACAACTCAGAACTCACCGGGCTCCAGAAGGGGGCCTCGTTTCAGATTTGCTTCATGGAAATTTTGTGCAAGCTGTGTTCTGTGTGGTCACGTGTTTGCTCTCTGGAATTTGGGATGTCTGTAAGCAGGTCCCGTGGTGTCTGTCTCAGGGTCCTGTGTCTGTGTCTCTGGTGTCATTGATGCGGCCCTGATTCTACATGGCCCTGGAGGCAACAATGTGGAGGAAAACTTACCTCCTAGGGGACAGTCCCCATGAGTACTGGCCAACATGGGGGTGTCACTGGGGGCCTCTGATTCCCCATCCCTGCAAGTTCCTACCTCACAGAGTAAAAGTGGGGACATAAGTTCCTCCATAAGGCTTGAGTGAGAGCAAAGGCTGTCAAGCTCCCCAAGACCACCAGTCTGCAGCCTCTGGTGGCCCTGACCAGCAAGGCCTGGGGTGGTGGGTTTGGAAATGTGTGTGTGTTGGGGGGGGGGGGTTGTGGTAAGTTGTTACAAAGACAGGAGGGAGTCAGGGAGGGTAAGCATCCTGCAGTGTGTGTTGGGGGGCACGGGGCATCCTGCCCCAAATACTAAGAACAGCTCCACTGAGAAACAGTGGACCAAAGCTTTTTCAAAATGCAAAACCCTGTTTCCTTTTGGGTTTATAAAGGGTTTCTGCTCCTGCTCCTGCTGTTTGGTTAGAGTGCCCTCGTGTGTCTCTGTGTTCACATGTCACGGAGCCCTTTTCCAGGCCACCCAGACTTCATCACAGCCTTGGTGCAAGTAAGCTCAGTGACTTTCTTGCTCCCCTCTTCCTCAAGGATTGCGCATGGGGCTGGGAGAGGCTGCTGAGTGTTAGCTGGCAGACAAGGAGCTTGCCCTCAGCAGCATTCTGTGTGTGCAGAAAGAGTGGTTTGCGTCTGTCCCGAGAAGCACAAGCCTCCAGACTGGAGGGCCTACTAGTTAGCAAAACTTGATTCAGTCAGATCCAAACACCAGTTAAAGGAAGAGGGAAGAGGGTTAGGTCCTGTGCAGTGGCACTAGGATTGGAGTCACCCAGTTCAGTAACTCATTGTGTTACACATTCCCTCTGTGGCCAACCCCCCCCCACCACCACCACCACCAATGCTGGGTGAGCTGAGCTGGCAGCCAGCGAACCTTCCCGCCTAGGCAGAGTGACTGTAGCGCTGCACAGCCCCGCCCCTCCCGCCCCTGGGGAAGCTCCTCCTCTCTGCCATCTGCCTAGGTGGAGACCCTCCTCTCTGCCCAAAGGCAGGCAAGTTGGCCCACCTGCCAGTGTAAGGAGCTACCACACTGGGTGATGGGTGACTCCAACCCCAGTGATGCCATTGCCTTGGCAGCCTCTCCTACTGGGCACTGGCCCAGTCTTTGGCACAGACCCTGGGGTCATTTTGGTGCCACCCCCTCTGACAGTGTCAGGGAGTGCAGTCTGCACCCCTGCACCGCCTAGTGACCACTGGTCCTGTGGGCTGTGAGTGCAGAGGCGTCTCCTTCCTTTAACTTCTTCCTTCTGGACCTTGGGTACATTGGATCCTCTCAGACCCCTTCATCTCTTCTGTGGCTCCCTCACACCCATACACACACACACACACACACACACACACACATACACACACCCCTACTGCCCTGGATTCCCTGTGAAGCCTGGGCCTGGGAAGAGACAGCTGGCAGGAAGCTCTCCCCATTCTTATTTAAAGCTCTGCTGTCTGCTGGCAGTCTCTGCCCACATGGTCTGCCTTCAGGTAAAAGGTGAAAGGTTACACCCAAGTTCCTATACTCTCTCTCCATAAGGATGCCTTCTCCTCCTCTTTGTCAAAGTCAAAGGCTCTGCCATTCTCCCCCAGCATAGATCTGGGAATCAGTATCGACTCCTCCCGCTTCACCCATTGTCACATCCAGGCTGTCACTTACTCCCACCTGCTCTGCCTCAAGACCTCCCTCTTTTCCATGGTCCATCATTTCTACCCCAAGAGCAGCTCTTCCACTTACCTTTGTTCTACTTCAGACAATTCCTCCATGTCTCTGACCCTCACCTCATCTGTAAAATAGGGCTAGTAACATACTTGGTAGGATTGTCAGAGATCCAGTAAGAACAGTGTAAAGGCTTATACTTGCAGAACAAATGGAAATCTGTGCATTTTATCACTATTACATCCTTTTTTTTTTTTTTGTCTGTCTCCAAGATTATTTCACTGTGCACTGTCAACTGTGAGAAAGATCATCCCCACTTTTTAAACTTGTCACATCCAATTTGAGCACTTACAGGGATTTCTGTAGTGTAGCCAATCAGATCTTTCACTCTCCTCAGTCCAGCTGTCCCATCTGGGGACCCACTGTGCCTCTCACTCTTGTTTCTAGTGATCCTGCTACATTCATGGTTCTCTCGGGCTGGTGGCATCACCCCACCACCACCACCGGGAGTGTTTGGAAATGTGGGAGGTAGGAACACTTTTGTCACATAGCTGCAGGCACCGCTGATATTCCATGGATGAGCCCATGGATGTCAACCTCCATACAAACATACAACCAAGACATGTCCCACTCAAAACACCAAGGGTGCCCCCCACCCAGAAACAGTGAATATATCCATTTGCAGTCACCAAAGTTTTACCTTAGACTCATTTCTTCTTCCCCTCCTCCCCCTTCTTTTTAAACACAATGAATGTTTATTTTTCCCTCCAGTACATATTTGACAAGGCTCTACAGTGGGGCTTCGTTCTTCAGAGTCACTAAGGGATCCAGACCAATAGAGGCCAAGAGAGGAAGAATTAAAAACTGGTGACTTGTGCACTGGCTCTCAAAGCTTCCACCAAGAAGTGTGTGCTCATGTTTCATTGGCCAGAGCAAGTCACATGGCCTCACCTGACTTCAAAAAAGTGGGGAAGGCAATCCTGGCTTGGGCCTGGGAGAACTGAAAATATTCAGTAAACATCACTAATGGCTACTCCAATCTGGTTAATCATAACATCTGCAACTTGTTATTTTTACTCAACAGTGTTTTTGAGATGCATCCATAATGATGAATTAATAAGCCAGACATAAACAAGTAGATGCTGTAAGGTTCCAATATCGTGAGTGTTTTTATCACTAGTTAAGCTCTCGTTCCTATTTTTCTCAACCCTAATTCAGCAATCAATCAATTAATCAATCCATCAGGAATGATGTATTTGATCAGTGCCTCGTAGGTGCCCTGTGCCAGGTGATGTCACTGACCCTAGAGGGTTCTACCTTCAAAGCACTTGTGCCAGGTTCAGGTCCAGGGCTGAGACTATGGGTTGTTAGGGCTGAGAAGCTGGCAGCAGGGAGAGATCCCTGAGGGCTGGAGTAGCCAGAGATGGCTTGGGGCTGGGCCTGGAAGGATGGATGAGACATGAACAGGCAGAGAAGAAAGGTGGGTTGGTCAGCAGTCCCAGTGCAATGATGATTCATGTACCAGGCCAGGCAGATTTTTCTTCTTGCCACAAGCATTCTGCCTTGCCAATGTCATTCATCCCCTTGACTTTAAACCTCATCACTGTGCCAAGGACACTACATCTGGTTCTCCAGCTAGCACATCATTTCTGAACTCCAGACCCTGTAGGGCATCTTTCCTGGGAGACCCACAGACGACTGCAAGTCTGCATATGCCAGCCAAGCTCTCCACTTCTCACCAACAGCTCCTTCCACATCTAGATCTCAGAAAAAGCAGCCATCACCCCCAGCCCTTCACATTCAAAGTCTCAGCATCATCTTGGAACCTTCCTCTCTCCTGATCCTCCCCCTTCCAATTAGTCCCCGTATTCTGCTGTCCACATGAAATAGTCAGCAATTCAGATGTTGTCTCTTTCTGCTTCTCCTGCTGCTGCTTTGGCCTCTCTCTCTCTGGGTATACCACATCAGTGCCATTGAGTGTCTTTCAGCATGGCTCTGCCTATGTCATGCTTCTGCTCATAACCTTCTATGACTGTCTTACCTACAGGATCCAGTTTAAACTCAGCCTGATATTCCTGGCCTCACAGTCTGACCAGTTCCTGTTGGCCTTTACTTTCTTCTGCCTGCTGAAGCCTACCCATTACCAAATCCTACCCAGCTTTCAAAGGCCAGCCCCTTCCTCTAATGACCCTCCCAGACCCCTCCACATCCTACAATTCTCTATGTTACTTCTGGCATAACCAAACCAAAGCCAAACCCACTGCCATCAAGTTGATTCGGATTCATAGCAACCCCCGTTGGGTTTCCAAGGCAGTTAATCTTTATGGAAGTAGATTACCCCATCTTCCTTCCACAGAGTAGCTGGTGGGTTTGAACCTCCAACCTTCTAGTTAGCAGTCAATGCATTAGGCACCATGCTACCAGAGCTTCTTTCTGGCGTAACAGTCATACCAAAATCTATTCCTATCTCCCTCCA